CCGCGGTACGTTGCTTCTTGCGATTTATGAAGGACTTATAGGGAGTCTGCGCTTCTCCTTCTTGGGAGCGTCCGACGAGAGCGCCACATTACCGGCCACATCTGGCAACAACATACTTACAAACAGCAGAGGGCTTCCAACGAACGCGAGCTCACCTTCATCGACCTCCTCAGCCACGGCTGCAGCGGAAGCAGCTCCATCGTGCTCTTCTTGGCCAGCAGTGCCCTCTAGGATATCATCATCAAGCCGGTCCATATCCCCAGCAGCTCCTCCACCATCGTAGCCGAGCTCTACTAGAGCCGACATAATCCCCCGACAAGACAGTCTCACCTACAATAACGAGGCCTTGTATCGCACCATTAACAGAAAAAGCCTACCCCACGCTTCCGCTGATGCTTCAGCCACTCGCCAGGCTCATCAGCTCTCACCACGACACATTGATTCTGAGCTACATCATTAGGACCAATCTCTACTCGGTATTTGACACCAAGGTGCTCCCAGTACGCGAACTTCTGGCCAGGAGTATACCTGAGCTCTCATAACAGGAAGCGAGAAAGGAGTGGTATGTAGCGTACTCCCTCCGGTGATCAAGCCAAGCATCCACACCAGTCGAGAGGAGGGCTCTCTTTGCAGCTATTGAGGCTGAGTCGACCTCCGCCTTCTCCCGAGCCTTCTGCTTCCATGCAATTGGAATCTAAACGAGCAACCACTATGACGACCCCCACCACACTGAGCCTACCACAACGACTTCATGCTTGCTGCCCTTCTCGACTCGCTGTTGTTGCTTCACCTAATGCCAAGTACGTCCGTCACTTCAAAGTCGGCCCGCTTTCCTACAGCGTGCATCAGCACTCTCTGCTCACGGTTCTTTATCCTATTGATCTCGACTTTAATGAGGGTCTCATCGACACCTTCATCCCTCATTTTCCGTACCTACCAGACTGCCTACCCTCCCAACACATAGCCATTTCCCCGCACTGTTTTCTGTATAGTCCTCTGAAGGTCCCTCCTTCTTTGTTCCAAGGAGTCCGGCTCCAGCTTGACATCTGCGGCTCGCTCCCGCGCCTTCTTCCTACTGCCAGTGGCCGCTTCAGTAGGGACCATTGCGGTCGTTGTTGAGGTCTCTTCCTCCTCTACTGTCGTATGCTTCTTCGACTTGCGGGGCATGATCCAGAGGAACCGAGGATGGAACAACTCGATGATGAGAGCTCTCCGCAAAGCTTTTCTAATTACATACAGGGAAATTTCGCCATTCAAATGCTCCACGTGTTTGAGGGACGATTCGAATGAAGTCCTCTGGCAAGTTCAGAGAGCTTGGGCAGCCTTAAAGCTGGATGGTTCGCTCAAGTTCTACGTGATAGAGTGTGAAAACTATCAATAGGTCTAGCACAGAAACTGCTAACATTAGCCGGGCCGTCCAAACTCGAGGCCGCTGTTAACCGAAGAGATCAATACTAACGAACAGTGGAAAGGATCAGGCAAGGTCCAGGGTAACCTAATGAAGCATTACATGAGAGTTGAAACATCACGCGCCACGAAATATCTACCGAGCTGATGACACGAGCGCGACATATAGGGCATTTGGAATTGACTGGGTCCTGTTGAAGCAGCCGTGCACAATCGGAGCCTGACGAGTATGAAGTCGAGAGGGGAACTAAGCCAAGTAGCTCTGCTATAACACTCACAAAGGGCTGTATGGCCGCAGGGTAGTAAGGCTGTGTTGATAGGGTTGGTGAGGCATATTGAACAGGTGTCTCTCGTCTTACCATCACCTGATAACAGCACGGGCTGAGATGGTCGCGGGTTCGATCCCTGCAACCTACCATTTTTAGTAATATCTGCTAGACCATAGAGCGCGCCGGTGGC